CTGTGTGTGAATGTCTGCCTGTGACTATCTGTGAATGTCTGCTTGTGACTATCTGTGACTGTGTATGTGAATGTCTGTCTGTGACTATCTGTGACTGTGTGTGTGAATGTCTGCCTGTGACTATCTGTGACTCTGTGTGTGAATGTCTGCCTGTGACTGATAGTCACAGGCAGACATTCACACACACACACACAGTCACAGATAGTCACAAGCAGACATTCACAGATAGTCACAGGCAGACATTCACACACAGAGTCACAGATAGTCACAGGCAGACATTCACACACACAGTCACAGATAGTCACAGGCAGACATTCACACACAGAGTCACAGGCAGACATTCACACACACAGTCACAGATAGTCACAGGCAGACATTCATACACACAGTCACAGATAGTCACAGGCAGACATTGACACACACAGCCCCTGCCTGTGTGAGCTGTGTGGCTCCTGGCACCCTGTGCAGCCACACAGCTCACAGAGTCACAAGCCTGGCCAGCCCTGGAGGCACCCGGGGCGGACCACCCCCGTTTAGTACGCCACTGCATACGGTTTGCATGGGAATGATACAAGTAATTTTAGTTTGTGTTCGTCTAGGTCAAACTTTTCTTTTTTTTTTTTTCAGCCCACATAGTTAACCTTTAAGTTTGACATTATTGGTCTAGAATATCTAGTTCTTCTGTTTTGCAGATCCATCCACACTTTTGCCTAGGCCTATGTCTGGCATCTCAAAGTGGTCAGTAATATTTTGAAAAATCCTTCTGAGTTAGAGACCAATCTCACATTGCTGAAGCTGTCTGTTTGATAAATATTTTGAGCTTTTTATATTAACTGCCTCCTTTGCCTGATTTTGAGGTTCTTGCAAAATCATGATCCATTCTCATAGATGAACTTGACACAAAGACCTTGTCCAGAGAAGCATAGTACAGTGACCACATTTCTTTAAACGTACAATGAGTATCACATAAAGGGTTATTCGCTAAAGTGAGGATTTGGCGTTAATTTCAAATGTAAGGTCACACAAGAAAAAATCTTCAAATCAGCTATGCTTCCAGTTCAGTTATTTTGGCTTTAAATTTGAATTTCACTTTGAATTCTTACTTTAGTGAATAACCTTGAAAGACTTTTGTAAAAAGTTTGGGGTGAATGATAATCCAAAGCTAAAGAGCTGAATTGGACGTGATAGTAAATTCCCCATCTCTTTAGAGGAAACCTGAGGAATCTGCATCTTTTTACTGCAAGGGGAATGTCTCCTTTAATACCCCCTCTCTGATGATCTGAGTGGTTAAAAAGATGGTTTTTGAATTTTCTTCTAATGTTCAGATTTACTTTCTATTCAACTGCTTTGTTAAAAAAATAAAAAAATAAATAAAAATAAATGAAAAATAAAAACCTTAAACCCTGTTTTTTCTTTTCAGGCACCTCTTTTCTTTTGTGATTCAGAGCTGATTTCCAGAGCTTTAACTCTATTATTCTAGAATGCGCTTCTGAATTGAGACAATAAGTAAAATAATAACCATCTTATAATGCTTGGAATCCATGCATCATGAATTGCTTCCTTCCAATTGTCTAAGAATCTTCCAGTTTTTACACTGGAGAATATTGTCTTCCCATTGGTTCTATTTTTGCTATCTCCATTGTGTGAATAGGGTTAGAAAAGGGCTTTTTACAAGCTGGATTCCCACTTGCAAAATGTTTCTATTCCATGAAGGATTATTCTTGTCTTGACTTTCTTTGGTTTTAATAATGTTCGAAAGGAAAGTTGCATGGGGAGAATTTTTATGGTGTGCCAGTGCTTGTAACCTTAGTCATTCTGCTCTGAAACCAATAGTTGCTAACCAGATATTGCTTGCAGAAATTCTAAATTCTTCAGTAGGAGAGACATAAAAAAAAGTTGACATATTTTGTTGTAACTTGAACAGGCCTTAATCTGACTCTTTAGAAAACATGTTTTACAGTTTTTTTAGCAAATTATTTGGGGGTTACTGAGGCTCTGAGATGAGGACTTTGCATTGTCCCATTGCCTTCTTAAAGGTTTTGGACGTCTTGTATATGTAGTTGTGATGGAACGCAGGCACTCCGACCAAGTACCTTGGCCAATCGATGCTCCTAGTGCTTGCTGAGGACTCCAAGCACTCCACCAGACACCATAAGCACTGCAGACCCCACTTCCAGTGATGTAGCTGCGCTGGGGTCTTGCTGTCCTTAACCCACCCTGGACCCAAGACCAGGATCCAGCTTCCAGTGGCCAGACCTCTCCTACTCCAGAGAGCGTAGCAGGAACAAGCTCTTACAAGAACTTATACTGAGGGGAGTATTGTGATTATAGCAATCCCCAAGAGTGTAGTTATCCCATCCCCCAAACATGAGCCAAAACTTCATGCAGGGGTAAAACAGGTCTGTTTAATGGAAGCCAGCACTTACAATTTATACACACATTTTTTCCAAAACACAGAAAACACCCCAATACACCACATATCCCCACAAATCTGATCTGGGTGAACAACATATCCAAAAAGTCACCCAGATCAGAGCAGGGGTTCACGAATTCCATGGAAGTCACATTTGACCGACTGCAAGCATTACTTTCCTGCCCAAAACAGTTCCAGAGATTTAGGCTGTGCAGTCGGTCTATCTTCTCCTCTATCCTGGAGATAATTGGCTTAAGTGGGTGTGGTAACTTAATTATCTCCAGGTACGGGGAATATCTCTAAGTCAAAACTGTTACAAAAAACACATAAAAATACATAACTCTTATAATACAATGTTTAACCTATATGTACAACATATCCCCAGATAGCTTGGATGTGAGTCCTCAGTATGTCCGAAAAGTGCTCAGATCTCACGAACGCCATGTGGTTAAACAATAGCAAGGGCTGATGGGAGATTGAGGAGGGATAAAGCAGCCAGTTTCAACTGGTCTGGCAGTGTCCCTGGGACAACGCACTGCTGGAGAACAATAGGACAGGAAAAAGGGGGAGGGAAAGAGGCACATTTTCCCATGGATTTAAAGGGGCAGGAAAAGTGTTTTAAAATCCAATAAGCCCAAACAGACTTTTTAAATGGCAATACACCTCAGGGACCATAGTCACAGGGCAAAAGGCTGGCAAACAGGCCCCTCCAAAACCCAGTGGAGAGGTTATTTTCGCCACAGTAGTCTTTTAGGCTCCAGGTCACCACGATAGGCAAAGTTGTATTTTTGCTCATCTGTGTAATGGGAATATACACTTTTGGTAGAAACTCTAGGTGGCTTTCATCCTCTTTAACAGCAAAAATATGTTCAAAGTGCTTAAAAATAAAATTCCCTTTTCAGGCAATATCCATTCTTAGACCTATTCTTTAAATAGATGAAAAGGAAATACTTTGTTTTTCCATTTTTTTGAAAGCATTCACCCTTTTCCTCTGTGATGTAAGCCGCTTCTTTAATAAGTTTATTGACAATGTCTTTCTGGAAGACTGGCAAACCTTCAAAGGATTCATCCAATGATGATGATGAAGAGGATATAGAAGTGGCTTTATCGGATTCAAAAGCAGTATAATCACTGGTGCAGTCATTAAGTACAACACTGCTGACCTAACAACAGAGAATATTTGCTGTCAGCATTTAAAACTCAGGACAAGAGTCCCGTCTTAGAAGAGTACTACATCCACTACTGGGTGCATTGGTCCTGTCATTTTATCCCTGCAATGTAAAACATTGCAGTTTTGTAGAAAACAGTAATGTTTACATTGCAAGGTTAAATATACCTGCCTTCCTGACAGCTGGTAGAGGCACTTCGGCCAGGTGTTGAAAACAAGAAAAGTAGTATTTAGTTTACTTACTTATAAAGTAGATATAGTTCTCTTCAGCTGCTGTGTGCATGCTGCTCAGCTGTACTAGGATTTAAATGTCTCATACATAGAACCAGGGATTCAGAATTGGAACCAAGTAGCACAATTTAGCACATGCTAACTTCATAGTTCTCAGTGAAATATGCATGTGTTCCACTTGTTTTTAGTATATACTTTATTGACATACTGGTATTTCCAGAACCTAGTTTGGCAAGGCAGAAGGGAATCTCAGCACCTAGTGTGACCATCAAACACATGCTACTTATAGCGGTACAACAGCGCAGCAGTGCCCCATAAATAGGGAGGCAAAAAAAAAAAAAAAAACTTGAATGCTTACCTACCATGTCTCATGTAAGGAAAGAGAGAGAGGGTTCTCTTGTGAATACCAGATTCTTATAGTCAAAGGAGATGCAGTTAGGGGTTTGCATTAATTATATGTTATTTTAAAGATTAAATTATGTGCTGATTTGAATAACAGATGCAAAACTCTGTCCTTTCTGTGGATATGTGTATGGAAAAATTATTATTCTCGTGTATATTGACATCCCAGATACATAAGAAGTAATAATAATTATAGGTTACCTACTGTGACAAACTCCCCTTTTTACAGGAGTTTGCCACAAACTGCATGAGGAGCCTGCTTGCCAGCCTCTTGCCCACAGACTATGGACCTGGTGAAATATAATGTTAAAGTCTCTGTTCGTGCCTTTTTGGCCACTTTTCGAACTTTCGAAGCGGCACTTCAAATTACCGAATAACCGCACGAACCAGAGCTTGTTAACACCTATTAACAATTTGGAACGTTTCTCACCACAGTGTTCTAATTGTTCGTCTGAGTGGCTGCAATTCCTATGGGCAGCCACAAGGTGGCGGCCATCTTTTTCACATGAACGCAGGCAGCGGTGTTTGGGCATGAATCTCATGGAACTAAAATCGGATACAGAAACTCCCAAACACCGCTGGACTTCCATCATCACCTGTGTTCGATTCATAGGCGTGCGCAGCCTATTGCATTAGGGTGTGCACCCTAAAGCACAAGCACACGCCGCATATATATATGTATGTATGTATATATATATATATATATAAGTGTGTATATATATATATATATATATATATATATACACACACACATACACATATATACACACATACACGCACTGCTGTGTGTGTGTGTGTGTGCTGTGTGAGGGTGCTGTTAGTGTGATGTGTGTGTGACGATGCTGGTAGTGTGCTATGTGGGTGAGGGTGTTTGTGTGTGCGTGCTTGTGAGGATGCTGTTAATGTACTGTGTGTGAGGGTGCTGTTTGTGTGTGTGTGTGTGCGCTTGTGAGGGTGCTGTTAATGTACTGTGTGTGA